AAAATATAAAAATAATAGCTAAAAGTATATAATACTAAAATAACACTGGTTCACAGTATAAAAATGTATATTACACTGTTACGTGACATATGGTCATGATAATGGCACTGTAACGATCATAATTCACACACAAACTACTGTGTACAGCCTGAAATGAATTAACCTTGAGGAAAATGCAACATCTTTTCATCCCAATCAGTTTAGCTAAACTTTGTGTACTACTCATGTATGTTGTGCACAATGTCTCCTGGGTAAACGTTAAAGTGAAATGAACACAACACAAACCTGAAAGTTCCTCCAGCACCATCCTTTGTTTTATTCTTCTGAGCTAACGCTACAGACACAGAGCCCGGAGCCAGTTTGGTGCTACTCACAACACCATGCTTCACAGCGACTGAAAGAGAGAGAGGTTACGTTTGGTGTCATTATGTTATGAAACAAAACAGACAGTAATGGATTTGACGGACACACTCACCTGTCTGGATATGTTTCAGCTGCACCTGAGGCTGACCCACCACTATGTGGCTGTGGGGTTGACCCCTGAGCGTCACCATGGGAGTGGTTGTCAGGGTTACCTGAGGGGGCTTCACTATTGCCCCCTGCTGTGGAGGCTGCAATACCTGAACAACATTGAATGCAATTCTATAATTACAACCGATGAGAGAATTTTAGGCCAGCTAATAGAACGTTCATTAATCATGTAATTTTGTTTTTAAATATTTGTTTATATATGAATTAATATTTATTACTGTTATAATAGAATGTATACATATTTTTTCACATTTGTTTCAAATAATTAAGTAATATAATAATAATAATAACAAGAGATGCCTTTGCACCTAATTATAATAAAATTATTATTTGTTTATATCATATAATAGCAATTACTATTATTATTATTGTTATCATATACTAATAATAATATGTGGAATGGGACTCAGAATTAAATTTAACCTTTTATTAACACAAAGTTTCATAAAATATTTCCATGTTATTATAATTGCAATATGACTTATTTCAACAAAACTTTTTTGAATCCGTATCTTTAACTACATGTTGTCACACAAAGTTAATACTGATTTAATCTCGTGATCTTTAGGTACACATAAACCATGAAAAAATTATTCAAAATTAATCTGATAATCTTTTTTCTGAAAGGTTCATACAAAAGAAGAGTCATTTATTTGTGAATCAGACTGACCAGTTGCGTTGCAGTGTCTATACCTGTTTGTTGATGCAGAGCAAGAAACAATTATCTGTACACTTTAGTGAAGAATGCAGATATTCAAGAAACATTAACAAAACTATGTCATAAAAAATCATTTTGCTTTTTTTCTGAATAAGAACTGGTTCACAATTCCTAACCCTTGTCCTTTATTAGTATTATCAGGCACAAAACCTTACTCTTTGTCACCGACAGTCAATATTCCACACTAAAGTGTAAGAAACATCAGTTAGTTATAATGATATGCATATGATGTTTCCTATTGTATTAATTGACACAGCTCAGAGTGATTTTTTACTTTGCCACAAGGCAAATACAGGCATTACCATTCAACAATTTAAACTATGTACTAAAGCAATTAAACTCCAATCATTTAGCTCAGTGTAAATTAAGACTAAACACCTAATTTTACCTGCAATGTGCTGTTAGCATTAATAATCCCAACAGTGTCCTTTCACCTCACTAAACAACACATCAAGTAAATTATGCATGTAGGTCTGTGTTTACCAGAGAGGCAGTCTGGCTGGAGTTGCTGAGGGCAGGCTGGATGAGCGTGCGGGGAGCTGTGGCGGTGGCACCAGCCGTGTTAGAGCTGGTCAGCACCACAGCGGGCGCCTGGAGGGCCTGGCTCTGCTGGATGAAGGCTGTGGAGTCAGGAGTGAGCTGTCTAAGAGCTGGAAGACTCCTCTGAAGAAACACATGGAAAAGGAGGAATTAATTGTGGGAAATAGGACTGTCCCGATTATAAAGTTTTGGCTGGCAATTAATTGTCATACAAGCAAGTAATGATTTAAAGCAACTCCATTTGCCTAGGCCAGGGGTGCCCAAACTCGGTCCTGGAGGGCCGGTGT